CTTATTTGCTTTTGGATGCAGTTGTACATCTCACTACGTATAGGCAATGAACAACTGGCTACTTGAAATGATACAAACGTGATAAAGAATTGTGTTATTTACAAAGAAATCAAATAAGACATTAATAATGGTAATAACAAAGATAAAATTATTAAAATTATCTAAAATTTCAATAACTCAGGATTATCCCAATTCTTATTTCTGCAGCAAAATATGTAATAAGTAGCTCTGATGGCAAAATTGATCATTTTTCTGATTATATAGCGTTGCTGTTTTTCATCAATGCCAATGTCATTCAACATGTCTTGGAAGGTGGAGCATTCGGCTGAGAGAACGCCAAGAGAACTCATGGAGAGGTTAATAAATTTGACGGAACTGTAATCACTCTTTAAATCTTTAATTAAGTTCTTATATTTTTCTCTTTTACGAATTATGTTCTTGTAGGTTAGATTCAAACCCAACTGTATTAAAATGTTGTCAAGTTGTCAGGTACGGACCATTTGATGTTTGATGGGGTGGGGGTTTGTTACCACCATGCTCATAACTACGCGTTCACTCAAGAGCATGGTCGATTGGCGATCGCTGACAGTACATATATAATACTTCTGTAATAAGTTTAGATAAAAAAGCCCTTATAGTATTTTAGGTCCTTACCTCTACTGATTCATCGTCTGGGCCTAAGGGCATTGATGGGCCATGCTAAAAAGCCACCAACCTCAACCTTGTCGGAATGGGTTGGGTACTCAGACCAAGGCCTGGCTTCCGGAAGAGACTTTTTTAAAAGGACCACTTCCCAGCCCTTCTTCAGGCATCGTCCGTGTATCTGTTTCCGGCCTTTGATTAGCACTGCTTCCCCGACAAGCCTCCCTTGGTCATCCAAGAGCTCAAGTACATCGGAGGCGGTAGTGGCCGTGGTGCTGGGGTGGAGGCAGGGGTATAAAAGTCAGTGGCTTGTCAAGAAAGGCTGTTACAGCAACATTAATGAATTTAGTTTTATAGAAAAATGACTTAGAAAAACCCAAACAGTGACCTACAAGGTTCTCTGCATGTTTTTGACTCGTGGATACGCGAAGCGTAGGAACGGAGTTATTGTGAGGGGTCTGAATATGCAAATGTGTGACTCGTAGGCTCGCTCGCTCGCTCACTCAGTGAGCCGTTAGCAAATCGATATCTAAACGATACAGCTGCAAAAGTATGGAATGATATCCCTCTGGTGATACGAGACAGTTCGTCACTTTCGATTTTTAAGAAAGAGTGAAAAAAGTATATCATTTCATCATGAAACTGCCCGCGCATTAAGTTTATGTTTATTTACATAATCAGGTGTATTTATATTTGTGAATATTACTCTTTTCCGTTTTGCTATATAAGTCTGTAACAATTTATTTAACAAGTTATTGCATTTTGTCTCCACTCGAATAATTCTAGTATTAAAAATAAAGTAAGGTGTAGGAACTCTTTAGCCCCTATGGGCTGTTTCCTGCACCTTCCACATTTTAATAATTAAGTAATTTGTAGAACTGTAATTGTAAAAGTGGTTTATTCAATAAAACTGTTAAACTGTTAGACGTAGACAATCTCGTTCCCAGAGCCCACGTTCCTCTTGCTCAGCACCGGACAGGAAGTTGCAACTGCGTATGTGTAGTTTAAAGGGTTCTTCGGGTTGGTATCCCTGTTGCACAGCAAAGGCCAACGAATCGATGTACTAGTACTTAAAATTTTGCTTCTAAAATTTATATTTTAGTTGTAAGTCTTCGAAAAAAAGTTGCTTGGATAACGGTTATAAGTTATTTTGTGTCACAAAACATATTTTTTCTGCAAAATTATCTTAATAAAGTCTGTTCGGAGCTGTGAAACTTCGGCGGTTAATTCGACTCGCTTTACGCCCAATTTAGCACAAAGTTTACTTGTCTTCCACTCTTCGCTCACCAACCAAACCTCACTCCTGAACAGAATATATAAATATATATATATGTATATATATATAACAATGTTGTAACAGACTTTCGGCTTATTTCCTCAAATGGTTCAAGAGGAAACGAGAAGATATTTGTGCTGAGCTATTCTTCTTGTCGAAGAGATCTGGAACTGGATATTTACTTCCGGTAAGGCTATTGTCTTCTTCAACCAATCACAGTGCACTTGAAAACGGTTGCAACTAGAGCCTCTCATTTGTCGGTGCTGACCAAGAGGAACGTGGGCTCTGGGAACGAGATTGAGATGTAGAGAAAAGCATCCACGAGTTCACCATAGAGGCAGTTTCATTTTAACTAGTGACTTTTGGTCGGAAAAGTGCTAACTTTAAAGGGATCCTACACTAAAAATGAACTTGAAGTTATATTATGCTGATTTCAAATATATGATTGAAATTGTCCAATAAAAATATTTACCAAAAACTTACTTTGAATCAAGAGTCGTAGAGTATTTTATGATATTGTAGCATCTATACCCTATCTGAAACAAAAAAAGATATAAACTGTCTTTAGATGATTCCCTCCAGTTTTAAAGAGCATGTTCCTATTTCACTTGGTCAAAATTTATTTTAAAGTGCACCTAATGAATGAAAAAGGTTCATTGTTTAATGATTTCTAGATATCAGTATACGATAGCAAAATTTCACATCAGGGTGTAGGTGCACTTTAAAATAAATTCTACCAAATCTCAGTGACGTACTAAAACGAACAAAAAACTGTAAAGCAAGACAAATATTTAAGCAGTGAAAACCAGTTTTCCGTGTTCAAATTCAATCCAGTTAATTGGTGTTTTGTGATTGGTCGATAGTTTTGGCCATACTGCGCCCCAATTGGCTGGATTTTTTTAATATTTCCGCTTCGAAATACCCAATAAATTTATAAGATCCTTTTAGACATGTATCATAGGTCTAGAATGCCGTTATTCGATTAACCTTTTACTGAAGGATTGCTGAGAAACTTAATCCAGTTATACAGTCATCATAAAAAAAATATATATATATATATATATATATATATATATATATATATATATATATATATATATACATATCACAATGTTGTAACAGACTTTCGGCTTATTTCCTCAAATGGTTCAAGAGGAAACGAGAAGATATTTGTGCTGAGCTATTGTTCTTGTCGAAGAGATCTGGAACTGGATATTTACTTCCGGTAAGGCTATTGTCTTCTTCAACCAATCACAGTGCACTTGAAAACGGTTGCAACCAGAGCCTCTCATTTGTCGGTGCTGACCAAGAGGAATGTGGGCTCTGGGAACGAGATTGAGATGTAGAGAAAAGCATCCACGAGTTCACCATAGAGGCAGTTTGATTTTAACTAGTGACTTTTGGTCGGAAAAGTGCTAACTTTAAAGGGATCCTACACTAAAAATGAACTTGAAGTTATATTATGCTGGTTTAAAATATATGATTGAAATTGTCCAATAAAAATATTTACCAAAAACTTACTGTGAATCAAGAGTCGTAGAGTATTTTATGATATTGTAGCGTCTATACCCTATCTGAAACAAAAAAAGATATAAACTGTCTTCAGATGATTCCCTCCAGTTTTAAAGAGCATGTTCCTATTTCACTTGGTCAAAATTTATTTTAAAGTGCACCTAATGAATGAAAAAGGTTCATCGTTTAATGATTTCTAGATATCAGTATACGATATCAAAATTTCACATCAGGGTGTAGGTGCACTTTAAAATAAATTCTACCAAATCTCAGTGACGTACTAAAACGAACAAAAAACTGTAAAGTAAGACAAATATCTAAGCAATAAAAACCAGTTTTCCGTGTTCAAATTCAATCCAGTTAATTGGTGTTTTGAGATCGGTCGATAGTTTTGGCCATACTGCGCCCCAATTGGCTGGATTTTTTTTATGTTTCCGCTTCGAAATACCCAATAAATTTATAAGATCCTTTTAGACATGTATCATAGGTCTAGAATGCCGTTATTCGATTAACCTTTTACTGAAGGATTGCTGAGAAACTTAATCCAGTTATACAGTCATCATACTGGTGTTTTGAGATCGGTCGATAGTTTTGGCCATACTGCGCATTCCGTTTTGAAATACCCAATAAATTTTCAAGATCCTTATAGACATTTATCATAGGTCTAGAATGCTGTTATTCGATTAACTTTCTACTGTATGATTGCTGAGAAATTCAATAACGGTTCCTGGCCATTTCATCTCGTTGACAACGTACTCTCTCCACCCCAGTTCTTTTTTCTTTTCTTCTCCGATGACATGTCTCTTTCTTGCCGAGGGCAACAACTGATCTCTATATATTTCCTTAAAGAATGTGCTCAGAGAATCTGATAAAAGATCGAAGCATTCTCTTTTAGGTGATCATTTTATTAATTCTCATAACCTAATCTCTTAACAATTTGTTGGTATCATTAGGAGAAAATTGATGTCGGTCACCATTGGGACTTAAAGGGATAGAAGGTGCCGGAGCGTGGCTCATTTACCAGCCACCACATAGCCCGGACTTCAATCCGCTAGAGGAACTATTAAGCAAAGTTAAATCACACATCGTACAAAACGATGTCGTTTTACAAGCCACAGGCAGTCCAGAGGCCTTTATTGTTGAAAGTTTCTTCAATGAAACTTAAGTGAGGACTGCCCTTCTTACTTTGAGCACGCAGAGTATATCTAGTTTTTAGTTTTCGTTTTACTCACCACGCTCACCAATGAAATGGCGCTGTCTGACCGGCAGAGAAAAAGGTAATGCCCAACTAGACACTGTTTATGTCTATGAGAGATATAATGTCAAGTTATATTTCTGCCAGAAAACAGAAAAGACATAATGGATGGCAAGCCAGAGGACTAACAGCAAGCCAAATCGAGAGTAAAAAAAAAAAACTTTTATTTAATACATCAACAATAAGTAACTGCTAATTTTGTCAATACATTCTTCTAATACTAATGAAATTTATGTTGCTGATACATGTGATTAAAGGCAAAACACAATGAGTTGAATACATGTGATATCAAAACAACTAAAACTCTTTTGTCCTTCAATTTTGCATTTCGTTTAAAATTTGCACCTTTTGTGCTTTGTATTCTTCCTCGGTCAACACGTTATCATCCAGCAACATCTTCAAATCCTTAAGGTGCTTTATGAGCTGACTCCTTTTTCTCAATCTGAAAAATAAACGCAAAGAATGAAAGAGACCATTTGAAAACTGATCTAGTTTTCAACAGTTGTTTTAGAGGAAGGGTACGAGTTTTCACTAAAATTCTTGCAAGTGAAAAAAGTGACGTTGTTTGTAGTGCTTAGTTGCTCTTGCTTTGAAGTTACTATAGCAGCCATAATGTGAAGTATATGAAATAATTCATTTTTGAACTGCGGTTGTAGATGAAAGTGAAGAATGATCATCGCAAAGCCATATCTAGTTGCAGTATCTGCTGCTGCCACACTCTCAGCAATGGATGCCCCGGCCTTTTCTTTGGGCTGCAAAGATTCCCTCTCTCTTAAGTAGGGCACGTTTGGTGGAGTGTCTTCAGAATGATGCGAGCCAACGACCTGTTAAATGTTAAAAACATTTTTGTTGTTTTAAAACGCTTTATTAAGCTGTAGTGTTTGGAAAAAATTAGCCATGAATGGTTGAAATTTGTTACCGGTATATTTGCCCACGCACAAAGTTTATATTCGGGCCATCGTCCCGCATGTTTTCTTTGTAGTTCGACTAGCTTTCTTTCAACCAACGATTTTTTAGCACGCTGTTGTGGATTATCCCTGTCATTTTGTTCATCCTCACTTGACATGGACCAGCCTATTACAAGAGAGGGGCAGATTTAATGACCTTGATGTACAAAAGAAACAGGCACTGGCTAATTGTCAGGAAGACTGCGGTGCAACACTTATGCCTCTTTTCTTTTTATTGTTTCCTGTCTTTCGTCCCTTTTCACTTTAATTTCCAGAAGCATTTGGATGTGTTGGTCAACCCATAAACTTAATTTTCCACTCACCTGGGTATCATACAAAGACTGCAGAGTGCATCGGTCAACAATGCGAAACTTCTTGTTTCTTCGGCTTTCTACAAAGTAGCCCAGTTGAAAGTTTGTGTTCTGAGCAGGAAACATGAATTGTAAGCTCAAAATGAATAAATTTGGACATCGTTTTTTTCGTCCAAAACACGGAGATGGACAGAAAACTCTCTAACTTCTTCGATCGGCTCCCCCTGCATATTTTTTTTCCATAGAAGAGTATATTTATTATGTTGTGACACAAAAGGTGAAGAAAAAATCCCATTGATTACTGATGTAATTACTTGTTCAACTAATCCTGTGCTGAATACCAATATTCATAACAACTTGAGTAAAACAACAGTTTGTTGTTGGTGTAAGTAAGAACCTGTAAAACTCACAGGTTACGTAAATCAAAGAAGTTCACACAATAGCGGGAGAGGAAAAAAAGACCCAGGCAAAAAGTTCACAGGGTCTTAATCGCTGCGGCCCAGAAACTGCTGTGATTGTAGCTGTAGATTTACTGTGTTAATTATTAACAATTATTATTGTAATGACATTTACGTACTTCCCTAAGGACTGTGTTCAAAGTGGTATGTGGATGGCTGAGAATCTATTTGTGTGTAATTATGTTATTTAGCACAGTACAAAAGAAGAAGTCTACAGAACAGACGAAATTCACACTTGCCTTTTAGTTGCATTGTTAGGCATGCATGCTAATGTCAGAATAAAACAACACTTGCAATGGGTAAATTTCGCCATAGCAAATTAACAGGTCACGCCAATATAAATTTATATTTATGTTTTTCTGGGGGTGTTTTTTACATTTTTTGCAAACACCTGTATATATAAAAGTGAATATATATGAGTGAAAAAAGACATCTCGTTGGCCCAGGCAGCTACACTACAACCAGTCTGTATAGATACATATATACAGACCAGTAGGTGAAGTACTCAAATCATGAATGCATGGGTGTTTAGTACAAAACTTGTTTTGTAGGCCACCGAAAAGTTGACCCACTCATCAGTTAAACTCCATTACAACACTGAAGTGTTAGGGCTTTCATCAACAATATGATGCGGTGATGAAAACGGTTACATATAACACTTGAAATTTAAATTTTAAAAAAAATTAGAATGAAAAGTGCGCATGTGCTGTTAATCACCTACAACTCTTACACGAAATGTAAGTCACACTAAATGCTCGTGCTAAAATCTTTGGCTTTGACATGTTCAATTTTCCCTAAGGAGAAACTTGCGTCAATGCCTACATGTTGAGACAAGTTCGTTGCGCTTGTTCAGTGTTGCTATGGGGGCCTACAGATTAAAAAGAACTTCTTTGTGGTACGTAGATTGCAACGTTTTGTAAGGTTGGTGTAAGGTTTTGCTTTGGCGAGTATTTTCCTTGTGATATCGAATTCTTACAGGTGCTTACTCAGCTCAGTCTCATTCGTTCTCTGTTCATGTCTAAATTACGTTAGATGGTTTCTGTTTCTTACCTTGAACTGAGTAGCTGTGAGACTGATGTATGTCTCTTTTTTGTGTCAGGTTGTTATCGTGGCTTGGTACACGACTTAACTCTCCTTTCAGTGGGCAGTCGTCTTTTTTTCTCGTTGACAACGTACTCTCTCCACCCCAGTTCTTTTTTCTTTTCTTCTCCGATGACATGTCTCTTTCTTGCCGAGGGCAACAACTGATCTCTATATATTTCCTTAAAGAATGTGCTCAGAGAATCTGATAAAAGATCGAAGCATTCTCTTTTAGGTGATCATTTTATTAATTCTCATAACCTAATCTCTTAACAATTTGTTGGTATCATTAGGAGAAAATTGATGTCGGTCACCATTGGGACTTAAAGGGATAGAAGGTGCCAGAGCGTGGCTCATTTACCAGCCACCACATAGCCCGGACTTCAATCCGCTAGAGGAACTATTAAGCAAAGTTAAATCACACATCGTACAAAACGATGTCGTTTTACAAGCCACAGGCAGTCCAGAGGCCTTTATTGTTGAAAGTTTCTTCAATGAAACTTAAGTGAGGACTGCCCTTCTTACTTTGAGCACGCAGAGTATATCTAGTTTTTAGTTTTCGTTTTACTCACCACGCTCACCAATGAAATGGCGCTGTCTGACCGGCAGAGAAAAAGGTAATGCCCAACTAGACACTGTTTATGTCTATGAGAGATATAATGTCAAGTTATATTTCTGCCAGAAAACAGAAAAGACATAATGGATGGCAAGCCAGAGGACTAACAGCAAGCCAAATCGAGAGTAAAAAAAAAAACTTTTATTTAATACATCAACAATAAGTAACTGCTAATTTTGTCAATACATTCTTCTAATACTAATGAAATTTATGTTGCTGATACATGTGATTAAAGGCAAAACACAATGAGTTGAATACATGTGATATCAAAACAACTAAAACTCTTTTCTCCTTCAATTTTGCATTTCGTTTAAAATTTGCACCTTTTGTGCTTTGTATTCTTCCTCGGTCAACACGTTATCATCCAGCAACATCTTCAAATCCTTAAGGTGCTTTATGAGCTGACTCCTTTTTCTCAATCTGAAAAATAAACGCAAAGAATGAAAGAGACCATTTGAAAACTGATCTAGTTTTCAACAGTTGTTTTAGAGGAAGGGTACGAGTTTTCACTAAAATTCTTGCAAGTGAAAAAAGTGACGTTGTTTGTAGTGCTTAGTTGCTCTTGCTTTGAAGTTACTATAGCAGCCATAATGTGAAGTATATGAAATAATTCATTTTTGAACTGCGGTTGTAGATGAAAGTGAAGAATGATCATCGCAAAGCCATATCTAGTTGCAGTATCTGCTGCTGCCACACTCTCAGCAATGGATGCCCCGGCCTTTTCTTTGGGCTGCAAAGATTCCCTCTCTCTTAAGTAGGGCACGTTTGGTGGAGTGTCTTCAGAATGATGCGAGCCAACGACCTGTTAAATGTTAAAAACATTTTTGTTGTTTTAAAACGCTTTATTAAGCTGTAGTGTTTGGAAAAAATTAGCCATGAATGGTTGAAATTTGTTACCGGTATATTTGCCCACGCACAAAGTTTATATTCGGGCCATCGTCCCGCATGTTTTCTTTGTAGTTCGACTAGCTTTCTTTCAACCAACGATTTTTTAGCACGCTGTTGTGGATTATCCCTGTCATTTTGTTCATCCTCACTTGACATGGACCAGCCTATTACAAGAGAGGGGCAGATTTAATGACCTTGATGTACAAAAGAAACAGGCACTGGCTAATTGTCAGGAAGACTGCGGTGCAACACTTATGCCTCTTTTCTTTTTATTGTTTCCTGTCTTTCGTCCCTTTTCACTTTAATTTCCAGAAGCATTTGGATGTGTTGGTCAACCCATAAACTTAATTTTCCACTCACCTGGGTATCATACAAAGACTGCAGAGTGCATCGGTCAACAATGCGAAACTTCTTGTTTCTTCGGCTTTCTACAAAGTAGCCCAGTTGAAAGTTTGTGTTCTGAGCAGGAAACATGAATTGTAAGCTCAAAATGAATAAATTTGGACATCGTTTTTTTCGTCCAAAACACGGAGATGGACAGAAAACTCTCTAACTTCTTCGATCGGCTCCCCCTGCATATTTTTTTTCCATAGAAGAGTATATTTATTATGTTGTGACACAAAAGGTGAAGAAAAAATCCCATTGATTACTGATGTAATTACTTGTTCAACTAATCCTGTGCTGAATACCAATATTCATAACAACTTGAGTAAAACAACAGTTTGTTGTTGGTGTAAGTAAGAACCTGTAAAACTCACAGGTTACGTAAATCAAAGAAGTTCACACAATAGCGGGAGAGGAAAAAAAGACCCAGGCAAAAAGTTCACAGGGTCTTAATCGCTGCGGCCCAGAAACTGCTGTGATTGTAGCTGTAGATTTACTGTGTTAATTATTAACAATTATTATTGTAATGACATTTACGTACTTCCCTAAGGACTGTGTTCAAAGTGGTATGTGGATGGCTGAGAATCTATTTGTGTGTAATTATGTTATTTAGCACAGTACAAAAGAAGAAGTCTACAGAACAGACGAAATTCACACTTGCCTTTTAGTTGCATTGTTAGGCATGCATGCTAATGTCAGAATAAAACAACACTTGCAATGGGTAAATTTCGCCATAGCAAATTAACAGGTCACGCCAATATAAATTTATATTTATGTTTTTCTGGGGGTGTTTTTTACATTTTTTGCAAACACCTGTATATATAAAAGTGAATATATATGAGTGAAAAAAGACATCTCGTTGGCCCAGGCAGCTACACTACAACCAGTCTGTATAGATACATATATACAGACCAGTAGGTGAAGTACTCAAATCATGAATGCATGGGTGTTTAGTACAAAACTTGTTTTGTAGGCCACCGAAAAGTTGACCCACTCATCAGTTAAACTCCATTACAACACTGAAGTGTTAGGGCTTTCATCAACAATATGATGCGGTGATGAAAACGGTTACATATAACACTTGAAATTTAAATTTTAAAAAAAATTAGAATGAAAAGTGCGCATGTGCTGTTAATCACCTACAACTCTTACACGAAATGTAAGTCACACTAAATGCTCGTGCTAAAATCTTTGGCTTTGACATGTTCAATTTTCCCTAAGGAGAAACTTGCGTCAATGCCTACATGTTGAGACAAGTTCGTTGCGCTTGTTCAGTGTTGCTATGGGGGCCTACAGATTAAAAAGAACTTCTTTGTGGTACATAGATTGCAGCGTTTTGTAAGGTTGGTGTAAGGTTTTGCTTTGGCGAGTATTTTCCTTGTGATATCGAATTCTTACAGGTGCTTACTCAGCTCAGTCTCATTCCTTCTCTGTTCATGTCTAAATGAAGTTAGATGGTTTCTGTTTCTTACCTTGAACTGAGTAGCTGTGAGACTGATGTATGTCTCTTTTTTGTGTCAGGTTGTTATCGTGGCTTGGTACACGACTTAACTCTCCTTTCAGTGGGCAGTCGTCTTTTTTCCTACAGCTACACGTTTTCCCTCCGTCTTTCTGTGGTTGAGCTGTTTCTGCTATCTTCAGGATGGCTTTGTTGTGGCCATCTATTATTTGCTTGACATTGGGCATGCAGCTGTAGCTGAGCTTTATGGTGTTCCTGTTGAAAATTTTCCTCAGTTTGTGACCCACTATAAGGATCTTTCAAGAAGGCTGATAAACGCACGTCTGATGTTGGTTTTGACGTTTTTGGTATATGGTCCCGTACGAAAATGTCTGACCTGACAATAACCTAATTTTGGTCTGATTTTTTAACCTAACCTCCACCAAATTTTAATAGCCTAACCTTAACCGTTTTAAGCCTCGTGTTAACCTTAAAAATGGACCTTAATTTCTTAAGACTCGAAGCCTGACATTCTTAAGGCTCGGCACGGAGGGAACGGTAGAGCGGAAATATGGCCTGAAAATGGTTATCTTTAATGCTTACATTTAGCAAAAGTAAGGCTTAAAAAAGCGGGCTTATTTGGCTCAAAAAGACAGGTTTGTTAGACTTAAAAGGCAGGCTTGTTAGGCTTAAAATCTTAAGCGGCTTGAAAAAGCAAATTTATGTAGCAGCTTGATGAATCGCATCACATGGTTCGCGTGATATGAGGTTTGCTTTTACACAATTGCACAACACATACCTTCACGTGCCAGGCTGTTTGTGACATAACTGTTCCATAGCGACTTAGAAACCTTCTTGAGCTCCAGACTTGCAGATATTCAACAACTGTAAACTGGAACTGGAACTGCGACGTAGATGCTATGCAAAGAAAAATAACGTGATTATAGCAAATCACTTACAGGTATCTATGCAAAGTATCCTTATTCTACAAGTTAAAAACCATTATGTACAACAATTAGTCATTTTCTTAATAGCCATCCAGTTATAGCAGACCCCTGCCATTCTGACCGCCCGCTTTTGTAGGGAGAAGAGTTTGACTGTCAAAAAGAGGGGCTCTACTCGTGATGCCTTAAGTTAACAGGTCGCTTGGAAATGGCCATGGCCACCACAGCTATAGCAGGGATACCCATTATCCCTCCGCTTTAGCCTTGAATTTCGCATTGCCGTCTCAGCCTTAGACAAAAGCTCCATAACCTTCTCTTTATCCTTGTTTCCAAGGAGGACCTCCAGGTATTCTTTAAAGTCATCATCTGGGATAGCAGCTTTCTTGGACATTCCTTGAAATACAGAGCTATAGAATTCTGCATTCTCGTGGTTCCTTTCCTTGGAGATAATAATAATAATCCATTTATATAGTGCCTTTTCTACAAAATCAAGATCAGATAAACCATCTAGAACCTGGCCCTTACTGAAGTTTGGAGACTTTAACGGCACTTGCACGTTTATTCTAAGATACCAAGGTCAAAATATTGCATTCCTCATTTGCCACACAGGACTATCTTCCCCACGGGTTTATTGAATGCTTTAAGGTCACACAGGTCTTATACAAGGTGTAGAGACAACCGACTGAATAAAAGTGGATATAAATAACAGAGCCGGTAATAAAAAACGACAAATTAATTCGTTGACAATGAAGACAAAAAGGGGAAACGCAAATATGAAACTACAATAACACTGAGTTACAAACACCATAGGCAATATAACACTAGCGACCTACAAAGGCTAGAACAAACCTGAACATGACAGAAACTACCACTGCCATGAGAGCCGAGGCGAAACCAACTGTGACGGCCAAAATAAAGTCACTCCTGCTAAGTGACTACGAAGAATACGTGTACTTAACCCCAACTAAAAGCAGGCTAGTGATTATCTCAGGCGCTACGTTCTGGGCAATGTTGTCGGCTGCATCAGGAAGTGGGTTTTCTACTTGAGCTACTGGAACTGCAAGGACCGGCTCCAGAACTGGTAACACTGGAGCTGGTACTGCTGGAGAGGGAGCGCTATTTACAACACCTAGCACTTGGTTTAGCGCCAGAGGGGCAGGCACTTGTTCATCCATGAAGCGAGGAAAAGGGTTTTGAAGTGCCAGCTAACCAGCTAGATCTAATTCAAAACGGCAGCCTAGAGTAGAGTGCAAGGGGTGGGCACAACGTGGTCCTATATATTTATAATTTACATATCCTCAGGGTGTTTTAAGGTATTAATATATGCAAATGACTTTGCATAGCATTCCACCTCAAATAGAGGAAACCACAGCACCTCACAATGTCCTCAACACTGAACAGAAAACTTTGGGAGGATCTTATTGAACTTCGACAGACACTCCACAGACTACATGAACTACATC